CTGCGCCTTTTCACCCATCCACCAACGGTATGGCTGAACGCATGGTGCGCATCGCAAAGGACGCCTTGAAGAGACTCACCTACTGGGACTGGCATCACAGGTTGGCTGACTTTCTCCTTTCTTATCGCACCACACCGTCCACTTCTACCGGGAGAAGTCCAGCTGAACTTCGTTGGGGGCGCCAACTTACTACGAGACTTGACCGGTTGCATCCGGACAGACTGCCTTCATCTACCTCACATCCTAGGGCACCTAGACAACTACTTGTGGGTGCCCCGGTTTGGGCTCGCAATTACGGCCTGGTCATACATGGGTCCCCGCTTCTGTGTCCAGGATCACAGGTCCTCTCTCCTACGAGGTTGCCCTGGACAACGGTCGTGTCCTGCATCGGCACATCGACCAACTTCGCTCTAGGCGAGACTTTTCTGCTGAGACTCCTGGGTCTTTTCCGGGGGGGAGGGGGACCCTTTGGAGCAAAGGGAAGGGCAAGAGCTACTGCCCATCGCCACTGAGGGAGCCACAAACGGCTCGTCCCAAGGTTCTGCAATTGCTCCGAAAAGGAAGTCTTGGAGCTTACCCACACAACAGGCACTCACGCCTACTACAGCCAGGGAGTTACCCCGGGGGCATACTCACTTTCCACACACAGCACACAGCACTCCAGCAACGGAGGATACCCGGGGGCATCCCAACCAATCATTCCCCGCAAGAGAGCTGGCACACAATGCCCAAGGTTGGCCTGACCTTACCCCAAATCCTACAGGGGGTCAAACATACACCGAGCTAGTCGAGGAACCAAGTCCCGACTACAACATCCCTAGCACAAATCAGGGGACACCTGAGTTTTGGGAGAGTACAGAAACCCACACGAGCCCAAACACAGAATGGGGTTCAGGGAATAGACCGCCTCCTGACAGGTCTTGGACTGACCTAGGGGGTTCTACAGAGACGCCCAGCAGTGGCTATCACTTCAAGGGGCCTGAGGGTCTACAGCTAGGTAGGACAACCAGGTCACAAAGCAACAGAAGCCCTGGCCTGACGAGCCCGGTGGGCAAGCTAGCAGGCCAGGCATCGGGGCACAGTCCTTGGAAGACACCAGGGCACAATAGAGAGAACAGGCTCACGCCTCCCTCCAGTCAGGGGACTTATGCCAGTAACCCAGAGCTAAGAAGGTCACAGAGAGCAAAGAAATCTCCTAAGTACCTAGCAGATTACATAACATTGCTGGCAAGGCAAAAGCCAGTAAACAGTGGGAGCACTGGGGAGCAAATTGTCGTATAAAATAAATGTTGTATGTTGGTAGTAGTTTAGCCCGGGGGAAAGGGGTGTTATGTCCCGAGCCTTGCAAACGGCTCGGGCGTTTGCAGGCAGTCCCGGGCAGGTGCAAAGCTGCCCGGGACCAGACAGGCTGTCGCCAGCGCCGTGCGCATGCGCGGGTGCTGGCGCGGGAAAGTAACCCATTTACCCGGGAGTTGCCTATATAAGAGGCTGTGAGGCGTTTGGGCTGAGCTGAAGCCATCTTCATGTAAGCTGAACGCTGAATAAAAGAACTTGAGAACTCCAGCTGCTTCTCGTGTCTGTTTTCCCGCCAAGGACGCAACACCTACCTGTATCTAAAACTCTGCAATATGCTTTACAGCTGCTGAGTTTGCTCAACCCTCCAAGGATCTGCTCCTATTGCTGTGTTAAAAGAGTTGTTCACTCAATACTGAGTTGCAGAAAAAATGAAATTTGCCTCCCCTCTTGCTGATAGGCACTGCACTCTGCTGCATCCGTTGTTACTTGGTGATGAGTTGTGTTTTGCATGCACAGCATGCAATTGACAAAGCACGCTCTAGTTTTGCTATAATCCCTCTCTACTGCATGTAATTGAAAATACCCATCAGTTATGGTACTGTTGGAAAACTGGGCCGGTTTAGTTGCAGGATTCTCTTGGTCATCCCTAGTTGTTGTTGTTGTTGTCATCCTCCTCCTCCTCCTCCTGTTCTTCTTCCTTCCTTCCTTCCTTCCTTCCTTCCTTCCTTCCTTCCTTCCTTCCTTCCTTCCTTCTCTTCCTTCTCCTCCTTCTCCTCCTTCCCTCCCTTCCCTTCCTCCTCCTCCCTCCCTTCCTTCTTTCCTTCCCTCCCCCCTCCTCTTTCTTCTTTTGCCTCCCCCCTCTGCCTTTTCTTCTTCCTCCTCTGTCTGTCATAACTTGAGCTAAATAAAGTTTTGAGAGAGAGAGAGAGAGAGAGAGAGAGAGAGAGAGAGAGAGAAGTCCAGAAGAGTGCCGAGTCACCAGCAGCACTTTTACTTTAGATACTTGTTCCCTTCTTTCCGTCCTTTATATAGGAATGTCAGAGTTCAGATTTCTCCCTGCTCTGTCTGGAAGGCAATGGCAGAGGGAACTGATTCGACCATTCCATCACTCTGTTATTCTATCCTTGCCTGCATGATAAACCTTGTACAGTAGAGTTAAAGCCCCTGTTGCCAGCTGAATAGTGCTATTTTGCTCACTTCTGATTGACCATGGCATTGCTGCATCCCTGTCCTTAGAGAATTAATAGCAGAAAAGCAATAACAAGACTGTCCTGGGACTGGAAGGGATTGGCCACTGCCTGAAACAGACAAGAAGTGCAGATGTCATCACACCTGTCTCTGGTCACTGACAAGGTCTCCAGTACAGTGGGAGAAAGGTTTAACAGATTGCCCATTGCAAGGGTGATGGAATAAGGGTGACAATGCTAGTTTTAACCTTGATACAGCAAAGCTTAACTAAAATTTTCTTATTCATGGGCTGGGGATAAAATAAAGGAAACGTTATTGGGATGTATCATTTACGCGAGATGGATGGTATAGAAATGTGCTGAATGAAGGAATGAATTTAGGAATGAATGAATGAATGAATATGGCAGAAAAATTTTGCCAAAGAATGTTTCAAATACTGATCCCCCCCTCTCTCCCTCCCTCCCTCCCTCCCTCCCTCCCTCTCTCTCTCTCTCCTCCTCCTCCTCCTCCTCCTCCTCTTCCTCCTTGCTAAATTTGGATGAATTATACCCTTTGATGTAAACAGAATTCTGTTTACATTAGTTTTAGAAATGCAGACTTATATATTTATTTATTAAACCTATATGCTTCCCATCTCACTATCGTGACTTTTAGTGCATCATTATGCACTAGGACAGTGGTGGCGAACCTATGGCACTGGTGCCAGAGGTGGCACTCGGAGCCCTCTCTGTGGGCACACATGCTGTTGCCCCAGCCTTGCCTCCCCTGTGACCCCCTCCTCACCAGCGGTCCACCTGGAGGAGAGTCGCCCCCGAGTGTGGCCCACACGGAGCAGAACAGCCAAGGACATGGCAGCCAGGCAGCGTAGACAAGACTCTGCCCTCACACCCCATCGTGCACAGTTGATGCTGTGGAGCACGGGCAGAGAGCGTGGCCACCATGGCGCTGCTGGGTTACTTGGGTGATCTGCGGTGGGCCCTGGAGGCGGTAAGTGGCCCTGCGGGCAGGCAGGGCAGGGGCGGGGCAGGGGGTGGAGCTGGGGCGGGGCCAGATTTTGGGCACTCAGTCTCTTAAAAGTTCGCCAACACTTCACTAGGACAAAAATTTGTTTCACTGAAGTTAGTAAAATATAGTTCCAGGTAAATGTACATAGGATAATTAAACAACGTTTCTCAACCTTGGCAACTTGAAGACATGTGGACTTCAACTCCCAGAATTCATAGTTGGCTGGGGAATTCTGGGAGTTGAAGTCCACGTGTCTTAAAATTGCCATGGTTGAGAAACACTGGGATAATACATTGCTGAGTGTATCCTTAAGGGAGATAGGCGATCTAGAAATACAAAATACAAACAAACAAACAAACAAAGAAATAGTGGCCTGTGTCTCCTATCAAGCTTATATTGGCATGAGTGGAACTATAAATCTGCATCACTGTGATGAATATATACATACGTGCATACAAGTAGTCCTTGACTTACGACCACAACTGAGCCCAAAATTTCTGTTGCTAAGCGAGACAGTTGTTAAGTGAATTTTGCCCCATTTTACGACCTTTCTCGACACAGTTGCTAAGTGAATCACTGCAGTTGTCAAGTTAGTAACACGGTGGTTAAGTGAATCTGGCTTCTGGCAAAAGGTGATCCTACGATGGCTAGACGCTTCAACTGACATAAATATGGGTCAGTTGCCAAGCGTCTAAATTTTGATCACATGGCCACGGGGATTCTTCAATGGTCGTCAGTGTGAAAAATAGTCATAAGTCACTTTTTTTTCAATGTCATCGTAACTTTGAACAGTCACTAAATGAACTGTTGTAAATTGAGGACTACCTGCTTTATGCTAACGCTGGATGGATTGATGAAATCGTATGACTCACCCTGGTGCACAACATCAGTTTATGTTTTATTTTTCCCAAAGCCGCTGTTCGTGCAGATGTATTACCAGAATGCTGTTTAAATCCCATGGGAATCTTGAAAACTTTAGTTCAGAAATGCAGCGGGAACGCTACCTTTAAGTGTACCATCCACATCAGTACTGGAACGTTGGGACTCTAGGAAGTATTATTTTACAAAACGTTTGATATGGGCACCAAAATATACAATGAGAATATTACATTATGGTTCCACCGCCCCTATCCCTTCCCTAGCCCGTTAGCAGCTGGATGATTCCCAGACCTCTAATTATTCAATTGTGCATTGATTTTAACTGGATCCATTATAGTTAGTAAAAGCTCATCCAATTAACTTGTCAATCTAAAGCTATCGGTGCACCACAATGTCTCCTATACCTTTCCCTCTCCGGTGAGTGAAATATCCAGGGACATTTTTCTTCTGTCTAATTCTCCATCCTTATCCACCACCACCCTCCTCATCCACCCTCCAATCCTCGGTTCATTCATAAATATCCGCAGTCCCTCCCCACCGGCTGGGCCAGCAGGTCTTCGCTCGTATTGGGCTCCGTGCCAAGAGCTGCGAAGGGGCACAGCCCCCCCTCTAGCTTACTACTTACCCTCCCCCTCCCAGATTCATTTATTTCTTTGAAAGGAGATGATGCTGAGCAAAGCCACAGGATGGCTGGGATTTTTCGCAATCCTGGCTACTACGGGGGCCAACTGGGAAGCAGGTGAGGGGTGCACCTGATTGGGGGTTGGGGTGCGGGGAGGGGTGTAAATTGGGGGATTCGGGAAAGGGGAGAGGAGGGGAGTGACTGCCGAAAGGAGAGAAAGCAGAGAGATGTAAGAGCAGAAGGGGAAAGGGCGGGGAGATAACAAAAGGAGAGAGAAATGGTCCACTCAAAGGCGGAAGGGTTCCAAAGGAGAGAAGGGCAAAGCCTTAGAATGAAGGAATAAATGGAGGAAGGAGAGAATGGCAGAGCCTTGGAATGAAGGAATAAATGGAGGTGTGTTGCTGGTTATTTGGGTTGGAGGGAATGAATGGAGAAACGGGATGCAGTAGTTTCCAGCTAGGTTTGGTTCTAGGATAAGAAGGAACCGAGGCTTCGTTGCATCTTTGCTTTAACTTATTCAACTCATTCTAAGAGATCGAATCTCGCTTTCTCCCAATCCACCACTCTGTCCGGATCAAAAAGATCATATCCCTTCCGTGATATGATAAATAGATTTGGGGCTGGATCGTAGAGTAAGGGGACACCTTGTCCTTGATGGCTTTCTAGAAATTGTCTTGGCTCCCAAGATTTGGCCCAGCTTAATTGTTGTTGATTGCCCCTCTAGAATTCTCTACCCCAGGAAACTGTCTTTCTTTTCCAAAGGTCTTAAGTTTCTCGCCAGCCTTCATCATTATAATTCACTAGGCACAAGGGTTTGTGGCGGAATAAAGGCTTGTGACTCATCCATTACCTGCCACCTTCCATTTCCATCCGAACCTCTTTGTTCCACTTCACAAATTCACCCATTAATAAGAACTAGCCTCTTTCCTCTTCTCTACCAAAGCACTTTTTGGACACATGGATGACTGGGAGATGTTCAACAGGTGCCAGGCAAGCTGCTGCTGGACTAGTTTTATTTCTGCCTGTGGAAGCCCACAACAGCCCTGTAAAAGGGGTGGAATGAAGGAGGCAAGCTTATTTTATGCCCATCGTGATCTTCTGTTCCAAACTTTACTTACAAGCACGACCAATCCTTCTGTATCAGTGCATACACTCGTGTTAAATGGAAAGAAACAAAACGCCCTTTTTCAAAGGGGATCTTGCTTTCAAAGAAGCTCCTGAAGCGAGAGGGGAAGAATAAAACTGCAGCTTATTCAGTGCTGGTAGCTTATAGACCAGCCTGTCTCTGTTGCAGACTTTAGGGAGAATTATATTTTTTATTTTAATGGCATCAATCAAGCCAGAAAGGGCTGCTGTTAAAGATGTGTGCCCTCTGTGTCTTCAGTCCCTTTTTTTGGACACAATTCAAAACAATGATTGTATGGCACTGAAGTCATAGAACATAGAGGACATAGAATAATAGACTTGGAAGGGACCTTGGAGATCTTCTAGTCCAGTGGTTCTCAACCTTTTTAATGCCGTGACCCCCCCCCCAACCGGTCGTAAGTCGAGGACTACTCAACCGGTCGTAAGTCGAGGACTACTCCACTGGTGCAGCACCGTTTGCAGAATCGGACTTTTGGCTGTCTCAGCAGGGCAGAGACAGCCTGGACAATTCCTATTGGCTTTTGAAAGCCAATAGAATTAGACTCTATTCAAGAGAGTCTATTCTATTGGCTTTCAAAAGCCAATAGAATAAAAGGGAGTAGCACAGCTAAGGAAAGGGGGGGGGGGAAATGGCGGACTGCGTTGTTTGGGGACCCCCGTGAAATGGTTGTTCAACCCCAAATGGGGTCCCGACCCACAGGTTGAGAACCACTGTTCTAGTCCAATCTACTGCTCAAAGCAGGAGACCCTATACCATTTCAGACAGATGGTTGTCCAGTCTCTTTTTGAAAGTCTTCAGTAATGGAGCACTCAGAACTTCTGAAGGCAAAGCTGCTCCACCGGTTAATTGTTCTCACTGTCAGGAAGTTTCTCCTTAATTCCAGGTTTCTTCTCTCCTTGATTAGTTTCCATCCATTGTTTCTTGTCTTGCCTTCTGGTGCTTTGCAGAATAGTTTGACCCCATCAACTTTGCCATTGATTCTACAATCTTTCATAAAAAGCTGATGGCAAAGATATATCTGTCATGGAGGTGAGACAGGTGGGGATCTCACCTTTCAGAGGTGAGACAGGTGGGATCCTAAGATTTGACCTTTCAAACAGCACCACACCATCCAATTTTAGAGCATCTTTTCTCCTACTAATATTGTCCACTACAATTGATTGATTCTTCCAGGATCTGAGCAAAAGCTTTGCTTTATCACACATAACACAATTAGAGGTAATGCAATTATTTATTTTCTCTTCACGCTGCTTCCACATGTGGTCTAGCTTCTCTTGGTCAATTTAGGGAGGTGCAAACACCAAAGAAATCCGAAGTAATCCTAAGGGAGACTCTGGAACTACACTGGAATTTTGAGAAACACATTTGAGTTACTGTTATGGTTGCACTATATCACAGGCACCACCAAGTAGGATCCGTAATAGCTCCTCTTGAGTTCCCAATTGTTTCGAACTGTGTGCGTATTTAGAAGCATTTAATGTGTAAAGATCATTGCCAAGATTGCCAAATCACAACCACAAATCACAAACTTGCTAACAGCACTTTCTCGAGTGTAACTTTACCTTTTTTGGGGGGAGTCAAGTACTGTTCTGTAATCACCCATCCTATTGCTTTCTAAGACATAAATTGATTGACTGATTGATTGATGGATTTCCATTTTTGCCATCCACTTTCCAACAGCTCTGATTGTCTCTCAGTGGCTCCAGAAATACCCTTCAATATAAATATGGTTGAGTGTGCAACTTTGCCTTACAACAGTGTGCACTCTGCATATGCTCGGAACTGAGGCCATCCTGTTCAGTGCTGGAGTCTGGCAAGCCAGGTACCAAAGGGCATTCTGCACATGCTCCGGGCTGAATCCATCCTGCCAAGTCCTGGAGTCTGGCAAGCCAGGGAGCAGAGTGCACTCTGCACATGCTCAGGGCAGAGCCCATTATAATCCAATGCTGAAGTCTGACAAACCTGGGAGCAGAGTGCCCTTTGCACATGCTCAGGGCTGAGCCCGTCCTGCCCAATTCTAGAGCCAGCCAACCCAGGAAGCAGAGTGCTCTCTGCACATGCTCCAGTCTGAGCCCGTACTGCAGAGTCCCGGAGTCTGCCAAACCAGCTGTGGTTCGGCTGTCCAATTTATTCAGTTTTACTTAAACAAATGAAATGTAAAATTATTAAGGGAGATGTCCTCGGACACCTTGCTGACAACAGATAATGTAATGGGGATCCAGGATCATTAATGTCTGAAATGCTTCACCTTAATCATTTTGGAATTATTGTCCCTATTTTAAAGATAGCAAGGTGAGGCTCAGGAGGCTAGGCTAATTCTTGAATTCACAGCTGACAAAAAAAATTGGATTTGAGAATTGTGCCTCATTGCTCATTTGACTAAACCCCTGTGTCCTTTGGCTTGCAAGAGAAGCTGAAACTTAAGCAAACATTGATTGATTGATTGATTGATTGATTGATTGATTGATTGATTGGAATCCAACCCCTTGGTCATCTTCTTCTTTCCTTTCCTTCCACCTTTCCCAGCATTAGAGTCTTCATATTATATATATAAAGTGGGACAATTTGAGCCTGATCATTTGTGTTGCAAATGAGTGATCTGGGTCAGCTTGTTTGATAACCCACTTGCTTGTATTCTTGGCTTATCTGCAGTATTCACAGGATTGGAGACATTCAAAATTCAAAGGACTCAAGACTCTTCCTATCCTGATTCTTCAAATTTCACTTCTTTATGGTGTCACCGGGAATATCATGGGGAATATAGGTAGTCCTTGACTTTTGACCATAATTGAACCCAAAATTTTGGTTGCTAAGCAAGATAGTTGTTAAGTGAGTTCTGCCCCCTTTTACAACATATTTGCCACAGTTATTAAGTGAGTCCCTGCAGTTGTTAAGCAATAGCATAGTTGTTAAATGAATCTGGCTTTCCCATTGACTTTGAGGATCAGAAGATTGCAAAAGGGGATCGTATGATCCTGGGACACTGCAACCATCAGAAATGCATGCCAGTTTTGATCATGTGACCATGGAGATGCTACAACAGATTGTAAATGTAAAAAATGGTCATAAGCTACTTTTTTCAGAGCTGTTGTAACTTCAAAAGGCCACTAAACCATTAGTTGTATGTCAAGGACTACTTGTACCATGGTTTGAGAATTGACTTGGACTAGATATCCTCCAATGTCGCTAACAATTCATCCATTCTATGATTGCATGATAATTTGTGCAGTTTGTTGTGTGGCAGTTTCCATCATCCCTTTCGTTCATGTTGCTTGGACCTTAAATGTGAGGGTTCCTAAATGCCTGACTATGGGGAAGAAGTTGGACTGAGTAGCTTGGACTGAGAGTGAAGTTTCTTGGCAAAGCACAGAGAAGTCCGAGGAATCGGCCTTTCTTCCTTAAGTCCGTCTCACTTACTTTGGCCATATCATGTGAGGGAATTCACTGGAGAAAGCAGTTATGTTTGGAAGAATTAGTGATAAAAGGAAACCAGGCCACCAAGGAACATGGTGGCTGGACACCATCAAAGCTGACACCAGCCAGAGCATAGAACAACTCAAAGTAGTTCAAGGTCGGAAGATGTGAAGAGATCTGGCCTGTAAAATTACCAAGAGTCGGACAGGATTGAATGGATAACATCGACATCACCATCTTTGAAGCTACTCTTCCTCATCTCTTTGTGTGTTCTTTTTTGCAGACCCCCTGTGTCCTGCCAGGTACAAGATCAACTGCCTACTTCACCAGCGAATGGGCTGCGGACCAGATGGGGCACCAAGTTGTGGTTCTTGTTTCCCAGGTCACGAAGAGGATTCTAATGGAGACTGTGTGCCGAAAAAAGGTTCTAAGCATGGTAAGTCCTGTGGGGTTTGGAAGCTTGAAGTATCAGCAGGGATGGAGTTTTCCAAAATTTTATTGGAAAGAGCAAGGCAACTTGACCAAGAGGTTCATGGCAGCAAAGAGGACTTTTTACCCGGAGTTTAATAAAGGGCATAGGTTAGCAGTGGCATCTAACTTTCACTGCTGCACTGAAGGAAGAAAAGATAGTAATGATGTTTCTCTGGAGATGCAAAAATCCATTTGTGGGGATTGTGGTGAAATTGATTGGGAAAAAGCACAGGAACGAATGTCTCTCTCCCATTAAATTATGGAATTCCAGTATTAAATTATGTGGGTGCTATTAAATTGTGTTGAAGGATAAGAGTTCTAATGGTAAAATCTCCCAGAGTCATGGATTGTTCTCCTACATATCTATCATAATATTTCAGGAGAGTAAGATTTGCAACTAAACAGAGCATTCATTCTGTGTCATTGTTTCAGAGGTATTTCTTTACCTAAACAGAGGAACAACAGGCAAAAAAGTAGCGGGACCAGGACCGATTCTCAACTTCCTGCCAGTTCCCCCACTGAGTTCGCTGCCCTCCCCTCCTATCTCCCCTTCCCTTCCCAGTAGGTAGATAAGTGGCTGCTCCTGGATGGGGTAGGAAGCAAAGGATTGTGAGACTGGCTGGGAAACTGTCACAGAACATAGAAAATGAAGATCATGTGAGTGCATCAGCAGCATAGCAGCAGTCAGTAGTAATTAAGCAGCCACAGCTTTCCCAAATTTTATTCCCCAAAAGTCATGGGTCCTGGATTTTAGAGATGTTCTGTAAATTAGCATATTTGAGGTACCTTAGTTCAAAAATTGTTGACCTATGATAAGCCGCCTGAGAAAGCCAAGGGAAATCGTCAAAACAATTAAAAAATGAAAACTAGAATATGTGATGCGACACCCAGAAAAATACGGCATACTTCATTTAATCCTCCAGGGAAAGATTGAAGGCAAACGAGGTCCAGGCAGAAGAAGGACATCATGGCTTCAAAATCTAAGGGACTGGTTTGGACAAAACTCAGCAGCACTTTTTTGTACGGCGGCTGATAAAAACAGGATCACCAACATGATCGCCAATGTCCGATAACAGATATGGCACAAGAAGAAGAAGAAAGATGAAGTAGCAGTAGCAATAGCACTTAGACTTATATACCACTTCACGGTGCTTTACAGCCCTCTCTAAGTGGTTTACAGCAGTGGTTCTCAACCTGTGGGTCGGGACCCCATTTGGGGTCGAATGACCATTTCACGGGGGTCGCCAAACAACACAGTCCGCCATTTTTTCCCTCTTTTCCTTAGCTGTCCTACTCCCTTTTATTCTATTGGCTTTTGAAAGCCAATAGAATAGACTCTCTTGAATAGAATCTAATTCTATTGGCTTTCAAAAGCCAATAGGAATTGTCCAGGCTGTCTCTGCCCTGCTGAGCCCGCCAAAAGTCCCATTCTGCAAACGGTGCTGCACCAGTTGAGTAGTCCTCGGCTTACGACCAGTTGGGGGTCGCGGCATTAAAAAGGTTGAGAACCACTGGTTTACAGAGTCAGCATATTGCCCCCAACAATTTGGGTCCTCATTTTACCAGCGTGTTTTGCCATGCTAAAGATTATGACAATGACAGTTTTAGTGGTATATAGATATACATGAGGAGTGGGACATTAAGTTTAGAATAGTAGTTAAGGCAACAGGTTAGAAACCAGGAGACTGAAGTGACCTTGAGCCACTCCTTCTCTGTCAGCCCTAGAAAGAAGAAGAAGGCAATGGCAAACCATTTCCAAAATCTTGCCAAGAAAACTATAGGGACTTGTCCAGGCAGTTGCCTGAAATCAACATTCTCAAAAGCCCAAAACAAAACAAAACCATTTCTCTAATTTTAGGCACCAATGCCCTTCATCATTGTCAACATCTAATATTCTCTGTATTTCTTCTGTACATTCCAGCTCTCCTTATTTTCTAGCCTGCATCCTTTGCAACACATCTTGTATCTAAGAAGATGTTCTAACCCAAAGAGACATGGAGAGCTAGAGAGAGAATAGTTTGTGGATCAAACTCAAGAGCCACTCAGCCAATCCCACTTATGTTTCAGTTCCAAAGTATCATCTAAAACCAGTCTGAAGGTTTTAGAGAGAAGAGCAACAAAGATGATTAGGGGACAAGAGGCTAAAAAATATAAAGAATGGTTGTACAAATTGAGTATGTCTAGCTCAGGGATAGGCAACCTTGGCTCTTTTATGACTTGTGGACTTCAATACCCAGAATTCCTGAACCGGCCATGCTAGCCTAGATATGACATGATAGAGATGACACGATATCAGTGTTCCAATATCTAAGAGGCTGCCACAAAGAGGAGGGGGGCAATCTATTCTCCAAAGTACCTGAAGGCAGGACAAGATGAAAACTGAACAAAAAAGAGAAGCAGCCTAGAATTAAGAGGAAATTTCCTGACAGAACAATTAATCAGTGGAATGGCTTGCCTCTAGAACAGTGATGGGGAATCTTTTAGAGACTGAATGCCCAAATTGCAACCCCAAACCCACTTATGCATTGTCGGGTGCTGGATGGGTGTGGCCCATTGGGTGGGCGTGGCTGCGGTGGTAACGGCAGACTGGGTGGGACTAAAAAGTTCAATCAATCAATTCCAACTTTGCAAGATCTTTTTTTTTTCTCGCAAGAAGTTGAAATTGACTGATTGATTGAACCTTTTTTTTTTTTTTTGCACACGGTGGCAGAGGCCTAAAGCGAAAAGGTTTTATAAAACCCAGCTGAAGGCCTAGGACTGGGGCGATGGCATGCGTGCCCACAGAGAGGGCTCTGAGTGCCGCCTCTGGCACCCGTCCCATAGGTTCGCCACCACTGCTCTAGAAGTTGTGGGTGTTTCATCACTGAAGGTTTTTAAGAAGAGATTTGAAAGCTATTTGTCTCAAATGGTATAGGGTTTTCCTGCCGGAGCAGGGGATTAGACTAGATGATCTCCAAGGTCCCTTCCAACTCTGTTATTGTGTTAAGGTCAAGAATCAAGAAACAAAGCACGGGAACTGAATAGGGTCGCAATTTTTACATCATTATCGTCACAGTTGAAGGTCAACTTATCTGTGTGAATGGTTCACAGTGGAGGTATCTGGCCATTAGTATGCCAAGTGAGCTAGAAAAAAATGTTTCTAGCAACCATTTCTGCCTCTGATCATGGCTTATAAAGTGTTCCATAGCCAGCTCCTACCAGTATTAATTATATTCAGGGTTGGTTGTGATTTTGACGCCCAAAGAGATTTTCTCTCCAAATGATGACCTTGCAATCTGTCACTGTACTCTCTGTATCTCCACTTGGAGATTGGAGTGTTATTAAAGGATCAGAAGCTACCAGTCAAGATCGGAGAACAAGAGCTGAAAATTCTGCCAAAGACTAGATACATTTCCCTCCCCCTCTGATCTAAGCCCTGGGTCAAAACAGGAACAAATACAAACTCTGACTGGTCCTTGGTGCTCTCTGAGCTTGCTTGTTTTCTTGCAGATGTTTCATTACCCAAAATAGGTAACATCATCAATGCTAGTCGTGCTAGTTCTCCTTTATTAATACAAACTCTGTATTCTTTTTCTCTGATTCCTTTTCTTCCAATAAAAAGGAATTATGGGGCTGTTTTGTGGTGGAAGAAGAGGTGCTGACATACCTCTTTATTTTTCTGAAATGTTTTTATATTGCTTGTCATAACTCATCACCATCATCATAAAACGGGCAATTTTAATTCTACCAGCTAATAAAAGAAGGCTCTTGGGGAGAGTTAACTGCTGGGAAAAGGATGAGTAGTTAGATTTTTGTGTTTGTGTGTGTGTGTTTTTTTTTTTTTTTGAATACTTGAATTTCATCACGTTCCACTTGACTTTCACTCTGATTTTTATATCTAAAATTTCTGATAAGAAGCAGCTACGTCTTGATTTAGATGCATGATGCCAGCCCTTCAAGGTAGACCAGAGTAGGAAATTTATGAATGCTAATACTACTTTTATTATAAGATTAAATAATACAATCCAAGTCTGAATATATTTCCCCCCCCCCCGCCTCCCCACCTTACAGGAGAGCTAGGGAGGATTTTGTCAGAGAAGCTTACTCAAATTATAGTTCTGCACCAGACTCAGATTCTTTTATCTGACAATTATCTTGACTGCAGCTTTTCCTCCTGTTCCTCATGGTTATTCCTTCTGCCCAGTGCAGTATATATAATAAAGGAGAATATTAGGACCCCGCAGTATATATAAATCTATTATTTAAAGCAGGGGTCTCTAAACTTAATGACTTTAAGATTTTGTGGACTTCAGCTCCCAGAATTCCCAAGCTAGCGTGGCTGGCTGAGGGATTCTGGAAGATGAAGTCCATGTATCTTAAAGTTGCCAAATTAGGAGCCCCCTGATTTAAAGGGACACAATATCCCAGTGAAACTATTGCATTTGCTCCCCTGTGTTTAGCCAGACAATGATTTGCCACAGGTCAAATAAAAGTCCAGAATTTCCAGCCACAATATAGAGGTAGTCCTCGACTTATAATTGGTCACCTAGTGATTGTTCAAGATGAACTCCTCCAAAAGCTATTTATGACATGGTTCCGAAGCTCTGAACCCTCCCATCCCATGGTCATGTGACTGCATTTTGGGCACTTGGAAACCGGCCCTCGTTTACAGCTGCTTGCAGTGCCCCACGGTGATGTGAGTGCAATTTACAATGGCTTTTCTGGAAGCCAACATCCACTTCTAGTTTCTTGCAAAAACGCCCCATAGCAAACAATGGGTTTGCTTAACAACCTTTGCACACACACAAAAAAACAAATTGTAAAATTGGGTCTGGTCACATGATGAGCGTCTTTACAACCTTCACTATTCAAATGCCAGGCTAAATTATGATTGTAAGTCAAGGCCGTCTTGTAAGGGAATTCCCTGCACAGGATGACTCCTTCCCCTGTAACTTTCTCTTGTGACTCTCACATCTTCTAGCCCAGTGGTTCTCAACCTGTGGGTTGGGACCCTATTTGGGGTCAAATGACCATTTCACGGGGGTCACCAAACAACGCAGTCCGCCATTTTTCCCCCCCTTTTCCTTAGCTGTGCTACTCCCTTTTATTCTATTGGCTTTTGAAAGCCAATAGAATAGACTCTCTTGAATAGAGTCTAATTCTATTGGCTTTCAAAAGCCAATAGGAATTGTCCAGGCTGTCTCTGCCCTGCTGAGCCCGCCAAAGTCCCATTCTGCAAACGGTGCTGCACCAGTTGAGTAGTCCTCGACTTACAACCGGTTGGGGGTCGCGGCATTAAAAAGGTTGAGAACCACTGTTCTAGCCAATTTTGCTCCTCTCGTCACTTCCTCTTGACAGCTTGACTGCACATTCAACTGAGCCAGAGGTCTACTTTTATTACTTAATTTCCTCTGCAAAACATGCTGTCTCAAACAAGTGCAGTAGGATAGCAATTGGCTTGATTAAGAGTCTTGGTCACAGGTCGGCAACCTGCGGCTCCGGAGCCGCATGCGGCTCTTTGGGCCTTCCCCTGTGGCTCCCAGCCTCCTCTGCCTTTGCGGAGAGAGACAGAGACAGAGAGAGGCAATTGCGCTTCCCTGCTTCTCTCTCTCTCTCTCTCTCTCTCTCTCTCTCTGTGTGTGTGTGTGTGTGTGTTTGTGTTCTGAGGAGTTGAAGTCCATGAGTCATAAAAGAGACGAGGTTGCTTGTTGGACAACAGTTTGAAGCTTGCCAGGTGAGCAGCAGATAGGAGGGGGGGGGAGAAAGAGAGAGAGAGAAAGAGAGAGAGAGAGAGAGAGAGAGAAAGAAAGAAAGAGAGCGGGGGGGGAGGGAAGAGGAGTGGCAGACCAAGGGCAGATAGAGAGGGAGGGAGAGAGAGACAGAGAGAGAGAGAGAGAGAGAGAGAGACCCTTTTGACATCTAAAATGAAGATAACACTGCATATATCCTTTTTTTACCTGTGTGTGTGTGTGTGTGTGTGTGTGTGTATATATATACACACATATATATACATATATATATACACACACACACATACACACAAACACACACACAAACACACACACACACCTATAATAAAGGTAAAAAAGGATATATGCAGTGTTATCTTCATTTTAGATATCAAAAGGGTTTTGTGGCTCCCAGTGTTTTGTTTTTGGTGGGAAACGGGTCCAAGTGGCTCTTTAAGTGTTTTGGGTTGCCTACCCCTGGTCTTGGTCATCATCATCATCAGAGTTGGAAGGGACCTTGGAGGTCTTCTAGTCCAACCCCCTGCTCAGGCAGGAAACCCTATACCATTTCAGACAAATGGCTGTCCAGTCTCTTCTTAAAAACTTCCAGTGTTGGAGCATTCACCTCTTCTGGAGGCAGGTTGTTCCATTGGTTAATTGTTCTAACTGTCAGGAAGTTTCTCCTTAGTTCTAGCTTGGTTCTCTCCTTGGTTAGTTTCCATCTATTGTTTCTTGTCCTGCCTTCAGGTGCCTTGGAGAATAATTTGACCCTCCTCTTCTTTGTGGCAACCCCTCAAATTGCACACCCTGATCTATTTTCCGTATATTAAAAAAAAAATTCTTACTAGGAAGTCCATGAATAGTAACATGCAAATTCTAATCTATTTTTTTAAAAAATATCCCTTTTAAATACACATAGACAGAAACACACATATAAAAAAGGCTGATCCTTCTCATACATTTAACATGGCTGCACCAATTACTGCTCCACTTTTTCAAATCATGTTGCCCACCTGGGATTCAGATATATCACCAAACATTCTGAAGGAATTTTCTCAAGGAAAATTCCACTGGAACCAACTTTCTATCATGAATGAAGGCAAATATATGTATCCAACATGGGTCAATCACGGGGATGAGGTTTACTCTTCCAAGCTTTCAGACTCAATAAAAGGTTTCCTGCCTGAGCAGGGGGTTGGACTAGATGACCTCCAAAGTCCCTTCCAACTTTATTACTATTATTATTAATATTAAATATTGGAAGACTGCTATCATGTTACCCTTAGTCCTTCTTTTCACTAGACTAGATATACCCAATTCCTGCAACCATTCTTCATAAGTTTTAGCCTCCTGCCTTCTAATCATCTTAATTGGTCTTCTTTGCACTCTTTCCAGAGTCTCACCATCCACATCAACATGATACTGAATGTGAAACATTAAACACTTGCCCTGCCAGTATTTGTGTAAGTGTTTATGTTTACTGGCTGGGCTTTCCCTCTTTTCCTCTCTTTCAGAAAGCAGACTCAAAACTCAGAAGAGACCTAAAGATTTGCCAGGTCTTTTGCGTTACCTTCTGGCTAAGCATGAAAAGACATTGCAGTTGTCCACGATGGAGACCACCGTACCTGGTATGTGAACTCACCAACTCTTTCTCTTTCCCCAAAAGGGAACAAATTATTTGAGGTGCTTTCAGGTGTTGTACTATTTTCCTATCTAACGTGAGGAATCGACATAAGGGGTCCAATTCTCTTTAATAATTTCAAACAATCAGGCAGCTTAATTAAAGAACTATCAAGGAGGAAACCACACACACACACATACACTCTTAACACTGGCAGGGCAAGTGACTGTATACAGGTAGTTCTTTACTTACAACCATTCCTTTAGTGACCAGTTGAAGTTACACTGGCACTAGAAAAAGTGACTTACGATTGTTTTTCACACTTACGACTATTGCAGCTTCCCCATGGTCATGTGATCAAAATTCACACACTTGGCAACTGGCATGTATTTATAACGGTTGCAGTGTCCTGGGGTCATGTGATCACCATTTGCAACCTTCCCAGCCAGCTTCCACCAAGGAAAGTCAATGGGAAAGCCAGATTCACTTAACAACCGTGTTACTACTTAACAACTCCAGTGATTTACTTAACAACTGTGGCAGGAAAGGGGCAAAAGTCACTTAACAATTGTCTTGCTTAGTAATGGAAAATTTGGACTCAATTGTAGTCATGGGTTGAGGCCTACCTGTACAAGATTAAATTCAGCTTTGCATTCATTTCGAAGTGCGTTTAGTACTTGCATAATAATGCCATGCCTTGGAATGATTCATGACTGAAGAGATGGTTGGGTCATGTGGCATCTTGTGATTGCCACTGTCATGGAAACTTTGGCATCGAATTTGGAGAGCTTAATGCTGGGTTGTGCTTCACTCAACACTTCAAACTACTTGGCAATCTCTACTTTTCCAATACATTCTGACCCAAAGCACTTCACTCTGTATTTTCTTTTTATTTCCCCTTCTCTCTGATATTTGTACTGTCTGGGAAAGATTGAATATGCATTATGATTTTATCCACTATCTATTTTTATCTCTTAGCTGTGTTGGAAAATGGGATAATTTTCAGTTCAAACTGCATCCAGCATTCTCCCAGTCATTCCCTGTGTCCAGATGAGAGCAAGCCCACAGCCCGTTCAGTTCAACATTCCTTAGGCTTATTGATTAAACATCAACTAATGTAAACAATAATAATAACAATTAATTGGCAGAAAGAAGATAAAAGGCAAGGAAAATAAGGAAGAGGGAAAAAGCACATGAGCTACAGGCAAGGATTTACATTTTCTCTCGATCAAAAGGCACAGCATTTTCCAGAGCAATGTTTCTCAAACTTGGTGACTTTAAAATGAGTGGACTTCAACTCCCAAAAATCTCCAGCCAGGATGGCTGGCTGGAGAATTCTGGGAATTGAAGTCCACCCATCTTAAAGTTGCCAAGGTTGAGAAATCCTGTTCCAAACCCACAGGAAACGGTACTGGAAAGTTTTCATAAACAACCTTGAAGGAAGTGGCTTCCAGTTCTTCGAGTTTAGATAGATAGATAGATAGATAGATAGATAGATAGATAGATAGATAGATAGATAGATAGATAGATAGATAGATAGATGATAGATACAGGGCTTTTTTTTGTCATAGAACGCCTAGAACAGAGTTCCGGCACCTTTTTTGGATGGAACCTTGTAGGGTAGGCAAGGCAGGTTGTATGACATGTGTGTGTTCCGGCACCTTTTTTTTTTTTTTTTTTACAAAAAAAGCACTAGATAGATAGATAGATAGATAGATAGATAGATAGATAGATAGATAGATAGATAGATAGATAACAGCAGAATAGGAATGGAAAGGTATTGTGTATCAGGAAGAGAACAACTGAATGGATTGGGATGTGTATTATTTTTATTATTTTTCTCACGTAAAGTAAAAAATAGCTCATAGATTAAAAGACAGAATGTTACACATGTTGTCAGTTCCTTATCACATCTGAGTAACATTGCTTACTAGACCATATTTCCAAAAATGTTTAGAATGGCTTATTGCCAAATTTTAGGTTTAGCTCTACTGTTAGATTAATGAAACCATTACAAAGACTTGTCCCTTAAAGAAATTTTCCAGATCTGATACTAAAGAGCAGTGAATAGAAAGCAGCCATTGTCTAAAATTAATGCATTTTGATTTTACAGGCATTACTGAAATATTTGAACCATCCAGCTCTCAGACTGACTTCCCAACTTCTCATTCAACAAGTGTCTCTTCCTCCGGGAATACGTCTCCAGTTTCCTCTCAGTCATATGAAATCACTCCAATTTCAGCCACTACACCACCAAGGAGAGTTAGAGTGGACTTCAAGCAGAGGTCCCGTCCTCCAGTTACTAGCATGAATAAAGCTGTGACTCTTAGTGAGTAGACCAATTGATTGACCATAGGAGAAGGACTGGCAGAGTCTGGGGGTGGAGTCAAGAGAGTAATCAGTCATTAGAGTAATCAGTCATTACATTCCCCTAAGCAGTCTAAGTTCAACCCCTCTTGAATTCTGTTAACTCTTAACTAGCACCAATTTAGTGCTGATCATTAGTTGACTAGATCAGGGGTCTTCAAACGTGGCCCTTTTATGACTTGTGGACTTCAATTCCCAGAATTCCTCAGCCAGGCATGCTGGCTGAGGAATTCTGGGAGTTGAAGTCCACAAGTCATAAAAGGGCCAAGTTTGAAGACCCCTGGACTAGATCCTTATATATAGGCATGAGCAATAAATCAACTTAACTAGATGTTAACATGTGGTCCTGATTCTTTGTGCCTGACATTGACTGACTGATTGTTGTCAACATTTATTGACCACATGGATAGATTTTCTCCATGACAATTTATCTCTAACTTGGTTTTCCAATGTGCTCCCATTGTCACTATAGCTGAATCCATCCCTTTGCTGGATCTTTTCTTTCATAGCATCAGAGCCATCTCTAAAGAGAATACATCATGTGTTCAAAGTAGAATAATTTTATAATTTTACTCTAGTTTTTCTTCAGTACCAAAGTTCAGAAGAGTCCATACTCTTTCTATCCTGCTTCTTCAAAATCCAACTTTCATTTCTATAAAGTATCACAAGGGAATGCAAAGGACTACTACAGAGAAGAGGGGGTCACCCTATTTTCCAAGGCACCTGAAGGGAGAAGAAGAAGCAATGGGTGGAAAATAATGGAGAGAACACTGGAGGTTTTTAAGAAGAGATTGGACAACCATTTGTCTGAAATGGTATAGGGTTTCCTGCCTGAGCAGCGGGTTGGACTAGAAGACCTCCCAGATCCCTTCCAACTCAGTTATTCTGTTAATACCACGGTTTATTTATCTTTATAGGTATAGACACATCATGACATTTGAATATCATGTTCTACCCCATGCTAGCCTATAGCGTAATTCTTGACTGCTTGTTCCTTTACTGTTGATGGTTGATTCTGAAGGCAGAAGCTATCCAGCACTTTGATAACTTCATGGTAAACAGGTGCAAGAAGCATTACTTCTTGGCATTAGTTTAGTCTTCTTTAAGGGATCAGAAAAGAGGGGGCAAGAATGAAGAAGAGAGCTTGGGACAGCTGAATGGTGAGATATGTGCATTTTCACAGCTAGCTAAGCAATGTTTTCATATACTTGTGAGTCCAACACTCAGAGTTAACTGTGTTTCTTTCAGCGCTTGTGGTCATGTGCACGGTGACAGGAGTCTCTGGATTGGTGGTTGCAGCCATTTGTTGGTACAGGTATGAATCCGATTGTCCCCCTTTCCATATGTTGTTTCTCCATTATTATAATTAGCACTATTCTCATGTTTGAGATGGAAGAAACTCTTTCTGTGCTCAGTAAATTCCTTTGTTTTTCCCATTGCTGAGGGTGGTGAACTTGACTGCAGATTTAATGATTTATGAATCAGGAAAATGCGAACCATGCGTTGGAGTTATTCATACGTGGGTTCTTTTTTTTTGTATTTCACTCAAAATATCTATGATTAATTTGCAGGCTTCAGAAAGAAGTACGTTTGGCTCAAAAGATGGCATACACAGCTACTCGAGGGAACCAGTACCGATACCATCAACCCAGTGCAGTAAGTTGGCTTTGCAAAATGGAATTTGTTAATGGAAGATGAAGGCCTTGCTTATAAGACATGTGAAACTGTAGCATGTTTTGACAGCATGTTGTGCGAAGCCAGCCATTATTGCTTGGAAATCATAGTTCACAGCATATTGTATGAGCTCAACCAAATGAGGCTTAATAGATTGTGTTCAATGGAATGGGTATGAAGATGAATTTGACAGGAGGAAGAGGAGGAGGAGGTTGTTATTAAAGCCTAGTAGTCATGATGACAGCTAGATCAGTGGTTCTCAACCTGTAGGTCGGGACCCCATTTGGGGTCAAACGACCATTTCACGGGGGTCGCCAAACAACGCAGTCCGCCATTTCCCCCCCCCTTTCCCTTAGCTGTGCTACTCCCTTTTATTCTGCTGGCTTTTGAAAGCCAATAGAATAGACTCTCTTGAATAGAGTCTAATTCTATTGGCTTTCAAAAGCCAATAGGAATTGTCCAGGCTGTCTCTGCCCTGCTGAGCCCGCCAAAAGTCCCATTCTGCAAACGGTGCTGCACCAGTTGAGTAGTCCTCGACTTACGACCGGTTGAGTAGTCCTCGACTTACAACCGGTTGGGGGTCGTGGCATTAAAAAGGTTGAGAACCACTGAGCTAGATGAAGTCCCAGGAATCAGGGTTAGATTGAACTGGCATTATTGCCCGCAGAGAAATAAAGCTAGTTTGGTAAGTTTGATGTCAGGCTCCAAAAAAAATCAAGACAGACATATTGAGAATTTTCTAAGCATTTTTCTTTATTGTTTCTTGCCTATAGAGAGAAATCTTGCGCAACCAAAGCAGGCTACTTGTACCCCAAGACATACCTCTGGGAACCGTTAGGGAGGAGCGGTTTTCACCCTTTTTCTCCCACACAAGCTATTTAAGCTGCATTGTCCTTTGCTATTCTTGAATGCACTCCCTCCCTCCCTCCTGGGAATCTGGATAACATTCCATCACAACTGTCTTACTGATGGGCTTTCAAGAGACATTGGGTTGGTGGAGGATGCTTGACTAGATGATTTTCCTGATCTCATAAGGCTCTCCTTAATCATTTTCTGTTCACCTTTCTTAGTACATGGATTCCAGGCTAGCACAGTCTTGTCAAGTTCACCACTATCAGCATCGAAAGAAACTTCTTGCTGGTGAGGAGTAAGTGTCCTTCTCTAGAACTTTCCCTGGAGGTGGGAGGGAATGGAAGAGCTGTGAGAACGAAGCAAGTCCCAGAACTGGAAAAGACCTTGAGAGGGATCTCAGAGTCCTAGTGGACAATCACTTAAACACGAGCCAGCCACGTGTTGCAGCTGCCCAAAAGGCCAACACAGTGCTAGGCTGCATTAACAGAGGGATAGAATCAAGATCACGTGAATTGTTAATACCACTTTACAACGCCTTGGTAAGGCCACACTTGGAATACTGCATCCAGTTTTGGTCACCACGATGTAAAAAAGATGTTGAGGCTCTAGAAAGAGTGCAGAGAAGAGCAACAAAGATGATTAGGGGACTGGAGGCGAAAACATATAAAGAACCGTTACTAGAATTGACTATGTCTAGTTTAATGAAGAGAAGGACGAGGGGGGACATGATAGCAGTGTTCCAGTATCTCAGGGGCTGCCACACAGATGAGGGAGTCAAGCTATTCTCCAAGGCGCCAGAAGGCAGGACAAGAAGCAACAGATGGAAACTAACCAAGGAGAGAAGCAACCTAGAACTAAGGAGAAACTTCCTGACAGTTAGAATAATTAACCAGTGGAACAACCTGCCTTCAGAAGTGGTGAATGCTCCAACATTGGAAGTTTTTAAGAAGAGACTGGACAGTCATTTGTCTGAAATGGCATAGGGTTTTCTGTCTGAGCAGGGGGTTGGACTAGAAGACTTCCCAGGTCCCTCCCAACTCTATTGTTGTTGTTGTTGTTGTTAAAAAATCCTTGGGAGAGGAAACGGGAGAGCAGAACTTTCACCTCTCTTACCTACAGAGAAAAGATCTCTGGGTTGGGGACATCACTGAAAGATTTGTTTCCAGAGCTGGGAAACTGATCTTCCATGCTGAGCAGACAAATTCTTGATTACTTATTAGACACTTATCTTTAGGAAGAATCCATTGCTTGTGATAGGATTTATTTGTTTATTAAATTATTAAATTTATATGCTGCCCATCTCCCTGTCCAAGGCGACTCTCAAGCCATAGGTGGGAAAATATTACAAGTGTGTCTGATAAGGGTGCACACTCCATCACACACAAACCTTCACACATCAAAAATAAGATATTAAAAACTCTCAAGGGTGATCTTTGCCTTGTCACATACAATATGTTCACTCTTACCCTGTTATCATTAGCTGTCTATGACCTAGAATAGTATTTGTCCCATATACTATACTTAATCACATGATGTAAAATGTAGACATTTGTTTAAGATTTTATATGTTTAAGACAGGGGTGTCAAACTCAATTTCATTGAGGGCCGCATCAGCACTGCGGTTGCCCTCGGGGGGTGGGTGTGGCCAGGGTGGGTGCGGCCTACTGAGTGGGCGTGGGTGGAGTGGGTGTGGCCTACTGGGTGGGCATGGCCAGCTCTACATCGTTCACGTCAATGGTGCCTGTGGGGGCCTTGGCAGGAGTGGAACAGATCTGAGAGTCTCTGGCAGAAGGGGGTGGGATCAGGACCACTTCCAGATAATGATGCATTTCTTCATTCCTCACAAAGGGTGACACCTCCCCAGCATGCACCCAGGGGCTGGTTCCTCGCTGTTTCCAGACGGCCTTGTGGAGCTAAGATTAAATGTGTTTCAGCATAGATGGCCACTACAAAATTGTACATTGGCTTCCGGCCGGCCAGCCTGGGCTAGGGCCAAGGCAGCAGGGGCCGTTCCCTCACTGTTTCCAGGATGGCTTTGCGGGCCACATGAAACACTTCGCGGGCCACATCCGGCCCCTGGGACTTGTATTTGACATGTCTGGTTTAAGAAACTGAAAAAATTGAAACCAGCATAAATTAGAACAGAGATTTCAAAAAACCTGAAATGACATATTCTTAGTAGGAGCTTCTTTGTTATCTTATACTGCTTCCCAGTCAGTATTTATATAAAAAGTTATTTTATTTGAATCAGCTCCTTCTCTCGTGCATAGAGGGCCACACCTATATGCAAGTAGTCCTTAACTTACAACCACAATTGAGCCCAAAATTGATGTTGCTATGTGAGGCATTTGTTAAAATAAGTTTTACCCCTTTTTACTATCTTTCTTTCCACAGTTGCTAAATGAATCACTGCAGTTATTAAGTTGGTAACATGGTTGTTAAGTGAATCTGGTTTCCGCATTGACTTTGCTGTCAAAAGCTGATCACATGACCCTGCGACACGCAACTGTCATAAATATGACTCAATTGCCAGGTGCCCGAATTTTGATCACCTGACCATGGGGATGCTGCAATGGTCGTAAGGGTGAAAAATTGTCATAAGTCACTTTTTTTAGTGCCGTGGTAACTTCAAACGGTCACTCAATGAACTGTTGTAAATCGAGGACTACCTGTAATATGTTTTGGGAGATTGAGACTAAGTAATCTAATTTGTTAGTGCTTCCCACACTTGCATTCCTCTATATTTCCCTGCTATCTGGAGATGATGGAACTGTGGGATTCTGATTCCAGTTAAGGCAGGGTGGAGATTTGAGCAAGCAGCCTTGTAGACAATAAGGAAGATGACCTTAACTGAAATATTGTAATGGAAGGTGTGGATGACATTGGGGAACAAGGGGAAGAGATTCTGCCTAGAAAACAATCAGATAAGGGAAGGAGGAGCCCCCAGTGGCTTAACAGAGAAAGAAACTTAGCAAAGAAACACTCTAGTGCAGGGGTAGGCAACCTTGGCTCTTTCATGACTCATGGACTTCAACTCCCAGAATTCCTGAGCCAGGCCTGAGCCAACACTGCATCTAGTGCAGACATGTCAAACTTGTGACGTCACGTGACGTCGTGCAATGTATCGGACTATGGCTTTTTTGCCATTGCCGGCAATGGGGTGGGCGTGGTTTCCCAATGACGCATCCGGTCCGCAGGCCGACAGTTTGACACCCCTGGTCTAGTCTGGATCAAGCCATTAAAATTGTCGGTGAGAAGTTTGTACTTTCAGACTTGCAAGATCCTGTTAATGTAGCCTTACAATAAGGTAGACTTTGCTCATCTAATGTTTCCTGCCTGGTTGACTGGGAGGGCTGACAGATAGGCAGGAGCTGAAACATTTTTAAGTCCAGAACTATAAGACAACATTTGGAGGCAGCTTAAACCAACACACACACACACACACACACACACACACACATTCACTGGAGTATAAAAAAGAGGAGGAGGTTCAATCAGACTTGCAAGATTCTGTAATTGCGACTGATCTCGATAGGGGCAGTTTTAGTTTTCCTGTGGAATTGACTTCTTAGTCTGATCTACCTGGGGAGGCTAACAGAAGAGGAACTCAGGTCATTTGATTCTATCTCTTTAACATCCAATCACTTCATCTTGTTTTTCTGCTCCCCAGGAGACAATCTCCCAAAGCAACGGAGCAGATCCCTACAGAATCAGAGAGTGAAAGTGGCGATTACACTGTATATGAATGTCCTGGATTGGCCCCGGTATGTATGTATGATGTATGCATGTATGTATGTATTCATGTATCTATGTGTCTAAGTCAGTGGTTCTCAACCTTTTTAATGCTACGACCCCCAACTGGTCGTAAGTCGAGGACTACTCAACTGGTGCAGCACCGTTTGCAGAATGGGACTTTTGGCGGGCTCAGCAGGGCAGAGACAGCCTGGACAATTCTTATTGGCTTTTGAAAGCCAATAGAATTAAACTCTATTCAAGAGAGTCTATTCTATTGGCTTTCAAAAGCCAATAGAATAAAAGGGAGTAGCACAGCTAAGGAAAAGGGGGAAAAATGGAGGACTGCGTTGTTTGGTGACCCCCGTGAAATGGTCGTTCGACCCCAAATGAGGTCGTGACCCACAGGTTGAGAACCACTGGTCTAAGTATTTGTATCCTGCCTTTATTATTTTTAAAAATAAATCAAGGCGGTGAGTTGAGTCAAATACTTTGGCCACCTAATGAGAAGATACATTGGAAAAGACCCGGATGTTGGGAAAGACTGAAGGCAAAAAGGAGAAGGGGATGGCAGAGGATGATATGGTTAGATAGTGTCATTGATTCAATGAACATGAATTTTGGCAGAACTCAGGAAGACAGTGGAGTGCAGGGGGCCTGGTGTGCTATGGTCCATGGCGTCACAAAGAGCTGGACACTACTTAGCAACAGAACAACAACAAGGTGGTGAACGTATCCAACACACTTTCTTCTTCCTGTTTTCCCCAAAACAACAATCCCGTGAGGTGGTTGGGCGGAAAGAGTCACTGCCCCAAGGTTATCCAGCAGGCTCTAAGTCAGGTCTTGAACTCATGGTCTCTTGCTTTCTAGCCTGGATCCTTAACCAGTAGACCAGGGGTCTTCAAATTTGGCCCTTTTATGACTTGTGGACTTCAACTCCCAAAATTCCTCAGCCAGCGTGCCTGGCTTAGGAATTCTGGGAGTTGAAGTCCACAAGTCATAAAAGGGCCAGGTTTGAAGACCCCTGCACAAGATCAATCTGGCTCTCATGTATACGTACATTCAGTCCGTGCTGAACAACAAAGATGGCTTCCAAAGAGCTGTGGGATGTCCCATCTGAAAAACCTCTTGCTGCTCGAGGCAAATAACCCATCCAAAGTCAAAACGCACACCAGGTTATTTTAATACCTTAGAAAATCCCACCTTCCAGGCAAGAAAAATATTACAGTCCTATGACAGACATGAAATCATTGCATGATAATCAATAGTCTACCCGAGCAGTAGAGCTGGCCCTTCTGCCAAGTTGTTTGAAATGTCCACTTTCATTTTAAGAAAGATCAACAAAAAAAAAAAAAATTAGTTTCACAAGTGGACATTTTGGTTAGTGGTTTTGATTGCCCTGCTAATCCCAAGCTTTCCATGTGTTCCTAAAATGTATTAGTGAGTGAGTCAGGTTGTGTCTCCTGGGCGCTCTGCATTTCTGAAGGGTTTGGTCAGAAAATCCTTCCAGATATGTTTTGCTTCCTATGAGGAGTAAGATAGCAAGATGTAACAACAAAGCCCCAGGTTTGCTGCTAAACAATAACAGCTGGAGTCGAGACACAACTTTGCAAACGGTTCTTAGCTAAGTTGCTCAATAAGCAGTAAATATGCTTCTCAGACTACCAGTCATGCAATTGATTGGTATTATTTTAATTTTATGTTTTAAACTGCTCTGGAGGCCTTATATCCAACAGGCACAAAGGCCACTAGGATGATTTTCAAAAGAATAATTATACTGAGTGAATTTTTCTTAGAAAAAAAATGCTAGTAATGTGTTAACTTTAGTGTAGTCCTTTTGAGATTGTTAGGATATGTATTTTGCATTGATCTCTTAACCCTCTCCAACCCGCAGCTCCCCCTACCCCCAACCCATACCCTTAGGCACAGCCAAGAAACTATCCTAGTTATAAGGCTACAAACCATCATTCGTCCACCCTTCCTTGGCCTATTTTTGCTAATAAATATCCTCTCATGGAATTGTGCAGCAAGTGTCCAAATGAACTCGGAGACACTAACATGAACCTGTAGTTTTATATAAATAAATATATTTTACATTTATAAGATATATGTTCCTGTGTTCCTGACAAAGATAGTCAGGAACACAGGAACATTATGAGGTAAATCTAAGCCAGGGGCCTTCAAACCTGGCCCTTTTATGACTTGTGGACTTCAACTTCCAGAATTCCTCAGCCAGTGTGCTGGGAGTTGAAGTCCACAAGTCATAAAAGGGCCAGGTTTGAAGACCCCTGATCTAAGCATACAGAGCATACAGAAGAAAAAAGCAGGAAAAAGTATTTGCTGATAAAGATCCTTTGCCCATTAAGCATTGTACGGTAATAGTAGATGGCTATACCCAGGGAGAGCCCTTGGTTCTAGAGGAATTGATTGAATATACTAAAACAATTAATATTTATGGAAGGACAACCTTTCTCTAGGTGTGGCCTGCCCTTGGTAAAAATATTTTTAAGCCTTGGGGGTGGCGGGAAGCATTGTCATGTAAAAGCAGTGACAATATAATGTTTAATTCCCTTTCAGTATTTTTCCTTTCCCTTTCAGAAAAATAGAAGCATTAAATCACACTTATTTATTTATTTATTTTTGCTTACTTTTGAAATACGGGGGAAAAGCCATCATAACCAGACAGTTTGCCATCAGATGCAATAGTTGAACAGTGGATGGGCCCAGGGGATGGAGAAAAGGGGCTGGAGATATTTTGCTTATGTATCACAAATGGTGGAGTCTTAGGTTATATGGTAAGGATTACAGGTAGTCCTCAACTTACAGCATCCAAAGTTATGACAGCTCCAAAAAGAGTGACTTATGACCGCTTTTCACCCTCACAACCGTTACAGCATCCCATTGTCACTTGATCAAAATTTGGATGCTTGGCGACTGGCTTATATTTATGACAGTTGCCGTATTCTGGGGTCATGTTTATTTTAAAAGGTCAACTTTTACAAGCTTCTGGCAAGCAAAGTCAATGGCGATGCTAGATTCTCTTAACAACCGTATTACTAAGAAAGGTCGTAAAGTGGGGCAAAACTCACTTAACAATTATCTTAGGAACAGAAATTTTGGGCTCAGCAGTGCTGCCGCTGGCACATGTGCCATAGGTTTGCCACCACTGGCCTAATCAATTTCTAGCTGGAGAGTTCCAAAGTGATGACAAAAATGCCCAGGATAAGATTGCAGGATCCAATCTGGGTGGATCAGTGGGACCAGAGATTAAGTCTTACAAGCTTTTTGGGCTCGTGCAGGAGCCAATCCTCAGATATCTTCTCTCTCTTTCTCCCCTTCAGACCTATTGACACCCTTATCTATAACCTGGCTAAATGGCCAGCCCAACGCTTAAGCTTTCTGACCCAACCCTCGAACAGCATGATCAGATCATCCACACAATTTTGGAATCTGCTAGAGCAAAACTGTTGTAAATTGAGGACTACCTTGTAGTTTCCTTATCCACTGATGGATATGGCAGTACAGTAGACAATAAGTCTTGCATTGTCGCCCTTCTAAAAGAATGCTTTGACTAACTTTCTGTCTTCTTCTCATTCCAGAGTGGAGAAATGGAGATCCACAATCCTCTCTTCGACACCTCCGCCCTCCACCAATGTCCCCCCTAATTACCCCCCCTCCCCTATTTTTCTCCCTTCCCTCATCTATCTTGCCATTTTCTGGATCCATGTAGGGAAGATTCAAACTGGCCAACACCCCCGTGGTGCTGTTTCTCCATCCTCTTCCTTTGAAGGAAGATCATATCCGTCCCACGTATTCCTCTATCCTCTTATGCTAATAATACAGGAATGCTTTCAGGCTTTTAGGAGATTTTTCTATCATAGCTTTGCTTCAGTTGAAGGTCTTCTGACAGTGAACTTTTATCCTGAGAATTCCTACTATCATTTGGAGACCTTGATTCAAGCTCTCCTGATGCCATCAGCTCTTGAACTGGAAGGGTTTATTGTATCCAGTCTAGCTGTGGAGACCTAAGAAGCAGAAGACTTCATTTGTCACGTACAAAAAGAGAATTCCTAGGCACGCTTAGATGTCTAAGATTGCCCCAAAGCATTTTGCCCATCAGTGGTGTCCACTCTTTCCTGGACGATATATATATATATATATACATACTGTATATAATATACAAGCTAGTCAGTTTGTTGTGTCACCAGAGGCAGAAAATCCCACAAAACAGCTCTCCTCGGCAATAATATTAACCATAGCGACAATATATAATTTGCTACATTTTCATGATGATAACTTAAGTCTCCTGCCTCGCTTTGCTCCATGCTTGGAACAGCCCTTGTCCCACCCCAACTGCATAAGTCATCTGGGTGATGTTGCTGGATGGATATCATTTTAAATGGGTAAAAAAAGCATACTTCTATTTAAGACCACTTGTCAGACACCGGAGAGCTCAGGAGACTTCATGCAGTTCAAATGAGTATAAAGATTCTTTGCAAGCTTAGCTCTCTACAAGAATCTGGCCAAGTGACCATTAAGGGAATGTGAGGGAATTAAAAAAGGAATTCAAGGTGGGCTGGACTTAGATCTCTCGTGGCCTCATAATTTATCACAGTTTGACCCTTCCATCAGGCTCAGCCTGATCATCTTTTACATCACCAATCCTTTTAGATGAGTTTGCAAGTTCAACACAACTGGGGCCAGGGACCTGGTAGTTTTTATTTACCGTATATCCCGGCGTATAGGGCGACCCGGCGTATAAGACGACCCCCTAGTTCGACGCCAGGTCGCAAGATGATCGACGCCGAGTCGCAAGACGATCGACGCCAAGTCGCATGCCTAGAAAGTCATCTTATACGCTGGAAACTACGTTATTTCTGGCGTATAAGACGATCGACGCCGAGTCGCATGCCTAGAAAGTCGTCTTATATGCCGGAAACTACGTTATTTCCGGCATATAAGATGATCGACGCTGAGTTGCATGCCTAGAAAGTCGTCTTATATGCCGGAAACTACGTTATTTCCGGCGTATAAGACGATCGACACCGAGTCGCATGCCTAGAAAGTTGTCTTATACACCAGAAACTACCTTATTTCTGGCGTATAAGACGACTCAGCGTATAAGATGACCCCCGAGTTCGGAGGCTGTTTCAACGCTCTCAAAAGTCGTCTTATACACCGCAATATACGGTATGTGTGTATTTATAAAACCACGCTGTTGTTTTTAAGAGACCTAAGCAATGCAAAATGCAAAAATATTCCACTGCAACCCAGCGGCCAAAACATACAAGAAGCAAGGTCTAAGAGAGAGTCACCATTCTTGATGTACTCTCCACCCACCCTTAACCAGCTGAAAACTATGTTGTTTTTCCTTCCTTATTCCTTTTCTCCTCTTCAACTATCTGACAATCACAGAGTTTGATGGCAGTTGCCCTGTGTGGACTGGATTGGATATCATGCACTGTATATAATAACATACTTAGCCATCCAAATCTTGTTTGTTTATGGCTTCCTCCGAAGGACCTGATTTGTCCTAGATGTTGGAGTCATTGATCACAAGACCAAGAGATCACACTAGTCTTCTCTACTTTGATGGTTTTTCATTGGTGGATTTCTTTGTGGCAACAGATTTTGGGATTGTATAAAGAAAGGAGAAGGAAGAGCAATAAGATGTTTCTATAGAGGGCTTCCTTTTGGGGGGATTGCAAACAAACTCCCAAAGGATGTGGAACAAGATGCTCATTGAATATCACCCCATCCCCAACACGTAGACCTAATCTCTCTCATTGCATGCTGATGTGCTATTTTTGCCTATTATTTTTCATCTACTGAAGTCAGTGGTCAAGTCAAAAGGATTTGGAGGAATCCGAAACACTGAAAGAACTTTTTTTTTAAGTGATTCATGTTTCTGCCTTGAAATGATCCTTTCGTTTCAAATTCATACTTTGGATGTGTAGGTCCTGGGGAAATTGAATTCCCTTCCTCTCAGCTAGAAATTGCCATGAAAGAAGCTCTCATTTGCTTGAACAGCTTCTGATGAGAGGTCCACGGATGTGCTTTGGGGTCCCTGCCTCACTTTGTTGCAACTTTGTGAACATCAGGAACATACCACTTAAGGTACCCTAGATCAGTGGTCCCCCAACCTTTTCAGCTTGGCTGCTCAGTGGGTGGATGGCAGAGGAAATGGTTCCATGTGAATATCGGGCACGTGCAGCTCCATTTACACAAGTGGCGGATGCACGTGCCCACCACTCATGCAAATGGAGCTTCACATGTGACACTTGCCCACTGTTTGCGTGGCCCAGTCAAAACGGGCCACAGCCCAGTAGTGGGCCACAGCCCGGGACTTGGGGACCCCTGCCCTAGGTGGTACCCTTTGATCAGATATTATAGTATATTTTTCATCCGCAAAGGCCTAAATAGCACTTGAGTGGTTTGTTTAAATAGGTTGTAATTCTATACATGTTGATGCCCAATTGGTCACCTTCCCTTCAACTTGTATTAAGTTGAATCTGGATCAAACAAGGGGAGCTGCACCACAACCCCACAGCTGCACCATTTCAGGCATGAAATCGGCTCATTGCCTGCGGGGTTGCATACATGTCACATATAGATCTCTTTTCCATGTGTGCAAACATACACAAGGGTATGCATGGAATGCAAAACTGCTGGGTGGCTTTGCATGGCCTCTACAACATCTCAATGTGTGCGGGTGTATACATACACACCTGTATCAGGTTCTAGTTGAATTCCACCCCACAAGCTAATGTGCAAATGTAGAAAAGCCATTCTAAATTAGAGAAGCATGAACCTATTTTTGAGAAGCAATGTGATCATGTGTCATAGTGGGAATCCTCTAAACCTTAGCATGTTTTTCCCTGTCTTAAAAAAAAATACGCATCCTCTTTCCTGAGACAAAAGGGATTATAGAAGACCTTCTAGTTTGCTACTTTAAACAACAGCATTGTAGTCTTATACTTGTCTTGTGAATGGGCTCACCATTTCTCCTTCCTGGTCCTCTAATTTGGAGTAGTCTACCTAGATTGTGTGCGCAGATATGTGCACACCATATACAGTCAGTGTTGCAGACAACTTGTTTCGGAGTTTTTATTCCTCATTCTTATAGAACTAAGCCATGTGGGGGGGAAAATGAAATTCATTTGCAAATGAGGAATAACTGTTTTTCTAGATGGGAACAGGCCTGGCAATGTTGGATCCTCTATATATCTATGTTTCTCAACCTTAGCAATAGATGTGTGGACTTCAATTCCCAGAGTTCCTTGGCCAGGCTGGGGAATTCTGGGAGTTGAAGTCCACCCATCTGTTGCCAAAGTTGAGAAAACACTGTTTTACACATATCCTCTTCATGAATGAATGGGCTTGGTTGGCTGGGGAATTCTGGAAGTTGAAGTCCACAGTTTGAAAAACACTGGTTTGTGCTTTTAAAGGTCTTTTTAACCTGGAAATTGACTCCACCTGTATATAAATTTGCCTTCAGGGAAAAAAAATAGGATGTTCCCCTTTGATTTTAGGTTAGTGTAGAGTAGCTGGAATTAAGCAGCAAAAATATTCATGCCTACTAGAAGACATGCTGGGTTTATTTGAATTGAGCAGTGCAGATCCAGTATATTATATGCACCATTACTTTTTAAAAGCCTAATGTGTGCCTTTGTGTAATACTAGCTCACCGCAGTGGTTCTCAACCTGTAGGTCGCGACCCCATTTGGGGTCGAACGACCATTTCGCGGGGGTCGCCAAACGACGCAGTCCGCCATTTTTTTCCCCTTTTCCTTAGCTGTGCTACTCCCTTTTATTCTATTGGCTTTTGAAAGCCAATAGAATAGACTCTCTTGAATAGAGTCTAATTCTATTGGCTTTCAAAGCCAATAGGAATTGTCCAGGCTGTCTCTGCCCTGCTGAGCCCGCCAAAAGTCCCATTCTGCAAACGGTGCTGCACCAGTTGAGTAGTCCTCAACTTACGACCGGTTGAGTAGTCCTCGACTTATGACCAGTTGGGGGTCGTGGCATTAAAAAGGTTGAGAACCACTGTAAGAAAGCATGATGAGACCAAGCACATCTTAGCACATTTGCAACTGAACGGAGTTGAACTAATAGTAATCATTTAAAATGTCTTTCTGTTGCAAGTTATCAATGGTTATCATATTGGTTGGGGTTTTATTCCTCCCACTGAGGGAGAATGCAGGATTGCTAGGTGGGGTGCCTACCAGAAGGGTGCCCCAAATTGGTCTATAATGGCAGAGGAGGCATCAGATGGGAAAAAGCTGCTACCCCATGTCACCCACTTCAGTTTATCCAGTCCTGCTTTGACTCATCCAAGCTGGTGAATAGTAGGCCAAAGAATTGTCATGTGCCAGACAAGAGGAATTAAAGGCAGTTTTCCTGAGTATGACATTCTGTCATGGAATACATCTACCAAAGATGACCCATGGGCTAATGGAAGTATAAGCCAATCTAAAAAGTATGGCCTTGAATGAAGGGTGGAGAGAATTTCTGGGTAAAATGCACCCTTAATTAACTCTGGGTGATTAAATTAAATGGTCATTGTGTAGAATATGGAAATAAAAGGCAATTGAGATCAATCAAGGGAGCGTGGATTAGAAGGTGAATAGCCAATACTGGCTCCCAGTAGCAGGTCACAATAAAAGGGCAGGAATTCTGTGTAGGTTAATTGTGGATGTATACTTTTGTGTTAAGAAGTTCAGGTGATTCTGATAGAACTTAACTCTAAGATACATCTAATAGGAATGCAACATTTTGGGGGATCTTTGAAGGATAATTTCCCCTAAATTTATTTATTTTATATCTTAGATTTATATTCCCCCTTTTCCTGAGAAGGGTAAAAGACATATACTAGTGTTTCCTCCTCCAATTTTTCCCCAAAACACCACCACCACACTGAGATAGGCTAAATTGTAAGAGAATGATTGGCTCATAGTCATCCTGGAAGCTTTGTGATTGAAAGGGAACTAGAATCTGGTACTCTCTACTTCTAGCTCCATGCCTTCACCATGTTGGCTAATTTAATTTAATGTAAATTTAATTAATATGAAATTAAAATGATTATTTTGGAGACCTAAGGAGATACCTTAATAAATGTAGTTAACAAGTTACTAGAAAGTTATTGTTGACTTCTTTTCCATCTCTTAAAGCATTCATACTCTTATATGAGGTTTGATGTCTCTTGATTCAGAAACATGTGCACAAATATTGTGTGTGAACTCTTGAGGCACAGGACCTTCTACTACAGTAGACCATTTTTCAGCAGCCAATGTGTAGATTAGGGATCTTCAAACTTGGCCCTTTTATAACTTGTGGACTTCAATTCCCAGAATTCCTCAGCCAGGTACCCTGGCTGAGGAATTCTGGGAGTTGAAGTCCACAAGTCATAAAAGAGCCAAGTTTGAAGATCCCTGGTGTAAATAAATTCTGATCATACATTGGCTGCATTGCACGCCATGTTAAAACTGGAATTCGGTCTTCTTGTGGATGAATTGAACATCCTTACGGTGGCATTTCAGCAGACTGCAGAAGCTTCTTCTGAAGTTACCTTTAGCTTCTGTCTCTTCCAGAACAAGTCAAGAGTTGGAAGCTAAGAAGAATCCACAAAATGATATCAGTTACTCTGAAATCCTTGCTTAGCATAATTAAGCCACACCAAAACAAAACAGATTATGCCCTGGCATGATGTTCCAAACTAGCTATTGTGGCTTGCAGACTATAATATAGACTTTAGTGTGTTGTGTCAAACCAAACAATTGTAATTTATTCAACAAACTGCAGTTAAATAAACCA